TTCGGTCTTGAGTTTGTCGTATTCGAGTTGAAGCCTCTCCTGAGCTAATGTCAGCTTTTGATTGGCGTCTTTCAACTGATCAATGAGTGACTGTTTCTCTGCGATCTCATCCCTGAGCGCTGACAACTGTTTTTGATGGTTTTCCCGGTGTTTCTCTATCTGTTGTTCCAACGCTTTCTTCATCTTCTCGACGGAATCCTTTTCTTTTTGCTTCTCTTTGGTGGTCACGTCATGCATCTCTTCGGCCGCTTTAAGTTTAGTGCACTCTTCGTTCAGCTGATCCACAGCTTCTTCGAGCGAACGCTTCTTATTTTCGATGTCACGCATCGACTCCTGTAAGGACTTCATCTTCGCTTCGTATTGACTGATAAGAAGCCGACATTCGGCCAAATCTTTTTCATACGATTCAATCTTTTTATTGCAAGTCGTCTGAAGGCTTTCCATTTGTTGCGTTCGCTTTAGGTTTTGACAAAAAACAAATCATCAAATATTGTCCACAAATAGTAAACACAATAAATGCATACCGAAGTCAATGCCTTGACCTCACTCTTCATTTTGCTGATGTATAGTCGGGCGACAGTGAACTCGTCTTCCATTTTATTGCTATCTCCGGCCACTTTGAGTTCGCCGATAACAGAGCTCGGGTTAGCCCCTAAAATAATACCCACTTCTCCTAAATCTTTCATTAGATTTGTGAGCATTTCGTTGAGTCGTTTCCTTTGGTGAAGACTTTGTTCTTTCATTTGCGTCAATTCTGATTGAGAGCTATTCAATGCGCTTAACTTTGTGTTCAGATCTTCACTCAAAGTCTCAAACTCTCGATTCCGAGATTCAACTTCTTGTGATTTCTGGTCATAATTGACGGCCAATTCCTCCAACGCTTGCAGAACTTCTTTCACCTCTTCTTTTGCGGATTCGTTTTCCTGTTGAATACGAGTCGTCTCCTGTTGGAGCAGTTCGTTATCTCTTCGAGAAGAGGTGATCAGCTCTTCCTGTTCTACCACTTGTTCCTTGAGTTTCTCCAAATGCTGACTGTATTTGTCGATCTCGTCGTCCTTTTCATCCAATTGGGCGTACAGTCGAGTCCTCTCCTCTTCAAACTTCATTCTTTCCTCATTACTCATCGGTTCAGAAGAGGTAATTATCTGAGATATATTAGTCTCGGTAGAGACCGGACCCGTCACTGCACTCAAGTTCTGCACCGATTCCGACAAACTTAGAGTACTGGCCTCCAGGTCTTTGAGGTTCGCCTGTTCATCGATGGGCACACTTTCCCCACCTCTCCATCGGTTCACTTCGCCTTCCAGTCTAGATATCTGACCTCTAAGTCTATTAACCTTCTCCTTCTCGCGTTCGTAGCGTTTTTTCCATTCTTCTGCAGTCAACTCTTCATTCACTATAACCACATTTTTAATAGTTTTGGCTCTCTTTCCGAACTCAAGCGTTGACTTGGTTTCCATTTCATTGAAAGAGGCGGGAGAACAGCAGATGATTATTGTAGTCCTCGAGTTTCCACCCAAAGATTCTTGCAAAATACGGGTCAGTTTACTATCACGATATGGTATGTGTGACTTCTGCTCAGTTCATAGTTATATATCAAATAATAAATTAGTAATTTTACTTCAAATAATGTGAGCAAAAATGTAACATACATTTCCGTCGGCCAACGCCGAGATTACATTTCCTAAGGCCGAGAGTGACTTATTTATATTCTTCGCTTCGTCTAAAACCATTCCTTCGGCACCAGTTTTGCTCACCTTTTATACAATATT